CATTATTATTATTCATTATCATTCGTTATATTCATTATTTTCATTATTTTCAAATATTACTTAATGAAAATTGCATATATTACGAAATAAAAATTTGAAATATCATTAAATAAGAATTTTAAATATTGTATTATTAATTTTAAAAATTGTACTATTAAAAAGAATTGAAAATAATGCAGAATGAAAATTGAAAATATAAAATAGAAATTTCAAATATAATATAAAAATTTTGAATATTGTGAAATAAATTTGGAATATTATGCAATAAAAATTGCAGAAATATACAGGTACCTGTAAAACTTAAAAGAATTATACTGATCTGTTGTCAGTAATTTATTAAACTTCTAAATTTCGATTCGTAATTATTTAAAAATTGTATTTTTCCATTATTTTTGTGTAAAATATTTGACAAGTGTCGCAAGAAGCAGAATGTCATTTATAGTACGTGTCCAATTTTCTGTCAAGATGTCAGTGAGTTATTTTGGTATCAATGAAAACATATCTGCTGTGTTTGCTCACGATGGAAATCTGGAAAAGTGTTTCAGCGTTTTGGATACACAGATTTATAACGCAAACGGTATCTAGATGTCATGAGAAGAGCTTCATGGGACAGTATAAGACAAGATAAATTCATGGCATGGAAGATTCTATCGCGACAACGCAGGGTAAACCTGACAGAAAGAACCAAGAACTGTCCGATTGGAACTAATAGCCATAGCAACTGGACAGTTCTAATAACAAAACTTTCAGCGCTGAAGAAGTCAAGAAAATTTATATATTACACGAAAATGGCGAAAAATATCGAAAGAGCGGTAGAGTAAATATTTAATTATTTTATTTAATTAATAGGTCTATATATGAGGAGTCTTTGTAATACCATAGAATTTTATAGGAAATTGACTATACTATACTTTAATAAGATTTGAAGATATTTGATTTATCGAAATGTAAATAAATATAACGTATAATATATAATAAATAAATAAATAAATAAATAAATAAACATATATAAATATAAATTTTAAACGATCCTAAGTGACCTTAAATAATTTTGGAATACCACAGTGTGATGGGTCAATAAATTCTTTTTGGAATAAACTATATACCAATTTGAATAAAAATGAACAGTTCCACAAAAAAATAAAAGTTACAGTGAAATCAAGGGAACACATTCGGGTAGAGAAAATTTCAGGACCAGGTAGATCAAATTTTTAATCCAGAATAGTAATAAAAATAAAAATAAATAAATAAATAAAATAAGAAAACTACTGCCATAATAACAAAATATTAATACCATTTGTTATTACAAAAAATTGTGGGTACCTCACTTTTCATCTAACAATTGCACCCGAAATATTTATTGCAAACTAAAGTATTAAAATTAGTTTATTACGACAAGTAAAAATATTAAAATTAATATACTGCAAATCAAATATTAAAATTAGTTTATCCCGAAATATTTATTGCAAACTAAAGTATTAAAATTAGTTTATTACGACAAGTAAAAATATTAAAATTAATATACTGCAAATCAAATATTAAAATTAGTTTATCACGACAAATTAAAATATTAGAATTAGTTTATCATGACAAAGTAAAATATTAGAATTAGCGTATAGCAAACTAAAATATTAGAATTAGATTATTACGACAAATAAAAATATCAATATAAGTATATTGCAAATTAAAATATTAAAATTAGTTTATCAAGACAAATTAAACTATTAGAATTAGCGTATTGCAAACTAAAATATTAGAATCAGTTTGTTGTAAATTAAAAAATTAAAATCAGCTTATTGCAAACCAAAATATCACAATTATCAAATTGCAAATTAAAAAATAAAAATTAGTTTATTGCAAACTAAAATATCAGAATTATCAAATTGCAAATGAAAAAATAAAAATTAGCTTATTGCAAACTAAAATATCAGTTCATTCAAAAAAAAAAAAAAAAAACTGTGGTCCCTAAAAAATCCAGAATAAATTACGAAAGAAAGAAAAAGAGAAGAGAAGGGAGTCGAAATCACCATTAATTTCGAGAAAACGATTTATAACATTTCAATTTTCCCACCCCTTATATGCAAATTTCTATACTAATATCCCAATTACGCGAGTCTCCGTTAAATCAAACGTCTAGATCGGATTAACCTTTCGATATCCACACTCTCGTCCCCTGAATTCGTACCCTGGTAGAAACTAAGTTGGCGAAACCAAGTCCGACGTGTCTCTTCTCCCAGCCCAAAGGGAGAAATAGAGAGGGAGAGGGCTGTCAGCTAAGTGGACAGCCGGCTTCGCGAGGGTGGAATCGATAACGAAACGCTTGCCAAATCGCTTTTGGGTAATGCGAGAGCGGAGTTTTATCCCATTATAAAATCCAGACGAGTGCATTTCGATATCGATTGTATTCAGACGAGAGCTGATTTCTGCCGAATCCCGCCAACTGCCCGATAAATAGCCGTTTCGGGTTCCAGCTGAAAAATCAAACGAATTTCCAGGTGAAAGCAATTACAATTACGAATTTATGGTGCATTGTGCGTACGGGGTTTAGAAGAGTCGTTGAGAGATTCAAATGCAAATACGTGTTTATTTCGCACTGCCAGATTACCACTGTTTATCCTGCAGCGAGAGATTCCTGCTCCTGCTGTTTACTTGGCTCCGTTTAAATCCAAGATCACCAGTGTCAAATTACGCTTGAAAATCGTGACACACGAATTTCACGGTGTTGGATCTGTTTAGGTTCTTAAGAAAAATTAAAATTCTTCGAAATTTCTTCGAAAAATTGTTTTAAGTATTTTTATTTCTGTATCGCATTGTACTTTTCGAGAGAAGCTCACGACGAGGAAAAAACAAGGATTGGAATTTAATCGTTTTCTTGGAAAATGGAAAATGAGTTAGAAGCTGAGATCCAAAATGGGGTGTGTTGAAATATATTCAATTCATACTTCGGGTCTTGGAGAGTTGTCACAACGTGTTAGTAACCCTCAAAAGTTACTATATAATATATGTATTGTGAATGTTGGTTGGCCTTAGTATTTGGTGTTCAGTATAATTTTTTATTTTTTTTATATATAATTTTTTATTTTTATAAATTTATAGTAATGTGAGTTTGAATTATTTCGTGGATGAAATATTGCATTTTTGGAAAATAATGAAATTATTTGTCGCTTTGGGAAATTATGAAAAGTTGAGAAGTTTTGATTTGTATGATAATGCGAGCTAGGATCATTCGATGAAGGGTAAGTGCATTGGTATCCAAATGGAAATATGGTCGATAATAAAGCGATGTTTAATGGAAAGGAACCTTGCCAAATCGATTTCCAAGCTGGAATACGAAAAACATAATTCTATTCTGAAAGAGAACAGCATGTGAATCTCTTTCCAACGCGAAAACAGACAATTTCTGGGTTACATTATAAAATTATGTTTCACTCGACTCGCATATTTTAAATTCTAAGAATTCCACTCACTATTTATCATACTATCCATAATAATTTTGCCTAAAATTATTTTAAATTATCTAAAATAATTACTATAATTATTTTCTACTATTTTGCATAACTGTAATAATTATTTCACACGATTTTTTATACATATTATTTTATACTTATTAAGATAATTTTATAATTATCTTGGATAGTTCTGAAAGTAGGAAAATTCAAATTTCAAAATGCAATATTATGCTCGTCATAGTTAAATCAATTTTTATTTTAAAATTATTAATGTCATATTAATAGGAACCATAAGTGAAATTATTAAAAACAATTACAAATTAGTATACTGAAATAATTTTATTTAAAATTATTTTAAATTATCTAAAATAATTGCTATAATTATTTTCTACTATTTTACATAACTATAATAATTATTTCACACGATTTTTGATACTTATTAAGATAATTTTATAATTATCTTGGATAGTTCTGAAAGTAGGAAAATTCAAATTCCAAAATACAATATTATGCTCGTCATAGTTCAATGAATTTTTATTTTTAAATTATTAATATCATATTAATAGGAACCATACGAGAAATTATTGTAAATAATTACAAATTAGTATACTGAAATTATTTAATTTTTGCGTAATTATATATTCCAGTTTATATGAAATTACGTAACGACAGATAATACACTGACATATTGTTCACATTTTGTATCGTATTTCGTTTCTCTGTAAATACAACTCTACGTACATGTTTCTATTGATGACATCCATTGACGAACAGCGAAATCATTGCTACTGGTAACAGCAGCTTCATTCACGTTCGTCGTCAATTGTCTGTGTCATGCAACCCCATAGAAAAGAATATAAAGGAGACAGACCAGGTGACCAGGTGGAGTCCATGCCACAGATTCAATTTTTCCTATCCAAGCATCAACAATAGTCTCATCCGATGTTATAGTACCTTGGCGTGGCTATTTTTATTACTAACATCATCAGGCAGATCAGTGCTTTATTTTAAAAATAAAAATACAGTCTTTTAATATCATAATTAGACATAATTAAACATGTCTCCATCGCAACAATGAATTAATATTTATATAATATCTGTTATGGAATATATAATCAAAATAAATTATAATATCGTGTCTTCTAGATTTTTTACTTGAAACACTTTTATAATTATTATTAAAATTAGATTATGCAAGGGAGATGGTTGATCGAACAGTAGCGAGTATATGTGTGTGTATGAAAAGGAAAAATAAGTGTAAACAGCACTCTTAACAACTTCTTCTTAACTTTCACTACCAGCCTCGACACGATAGTTCCTTCTTGAGAGAATCGTCCATTCGTTTCTCCAATTTTTCCCTCTGAGATCGCAGAAAATATTGCAGACGTATCGTATTTATTAGTTATTATTTCGAAGTTCTGAATTTTAAGTCCTGAGATCTGAGCCCTGAATACTGAGATCAGAGACCGGAGTTATGGGTTCTAGGTATTGAGATCTGAGTTCTGGGTGCTGAAATCTGAAATCTGAGGTCTGAGTACAGAGTGCTGACTTCTAAGTACTGAGATCAGAGTCCTGAATTGTGGATTCTAAGCACTGAGACCTGAGTTCTGTATTTTCAGACCTGAGATCTGAGCCCTGAGTACTGAGATCAAAGACCTCAGTTGTGGGTTTTAAGTATTGAGATCTCAGTTCTGAAATCTGAAATCTGAGCACGGAGTACTGAGATGCGAGCCCCGAATTGTGGATTCTAAGTACTGAGATTTGAGTTCTGAGTTCTGAGCCTTCAGTACTGAGATCAGAGATCCGAGTTGTGGGTTTTAAGTATTGAGATTTGAGTTCTGAGTTCTGAACTCTGAAACCTGAGATTTAAGCACTGACTTCTAAATACTGAGTTCAGAATACTGGGTATTGAGTACCGAGATCAGAGTACTGAATTGTGGATTCTAAGTACAAAGATCTGAGTTCTGAATTCTGAGGTCTGAGTACTGAATACTGAATTCTAAATTCAAAATTCTGAATTCTGAATTCTGAGTTCTAAATACTGAAATTAGAGTTCTGAGTCCTGAGTTCGGATTTCTCAGTTCTGAGTTCATCCACAAACGTTTTTCCCAATTGGGCCTGACTTTCGTCTTATCTACTCGCTTTCGTTTCTTCTCTCTTTCGTGGCCCTTCCCCGCTTAGGATACTTAGGCCTACAATACTATCTAATCATTGATACATAGTTTTTTCCATATCACGCAGGCCCTATATGTCACAGATCTTGTACACCCAACTTCTCAAAAGCAGGGTAGCGTCAGGTTAACCGCCTTCGAAAGCCATGGTAATATACTAACAAGGATTGTTGCCTCGTGCTGGATACGTACCCCGGTCTTTAGGTCATAGGTCATAGTCAGCACTCCAGCTCGTAACTATCAGCAGGAGACAAGACCGGTAAATTCTCACCTTTTAATCGGTTTATTCGACTAAGGTACCAAGATCGGTCTTAACTCTTCCGACCACGGATAGTTAAGCTCTTGAGACACTTCTTGGTGATACGAACCAATGCTACTTATCCGAATTTATGGTAATACGGCAATAGTAACACGCATTACGTAAATAATAAAATTCTTGGATAAAAAGTACACTGTAAGAACGCTCTCTTTTATCAATACGCACTTCGGGAACCTTAATATCACAAATTAGTCACGCGATATTAATTTGGCGCGTGATAAGCGTTCTAGAACGTCGAAGAGATTCGATACGATAGGACGGTACAGGTGAAATTAAGTCAGATCCAGTCCCTAGTCTGCGGAAATTTAAAAGCCGAAGTACTCCCCAGCGTAGTAGAGACTGCGTGACTCTACAATTTTATATAAAATTCTTCTGAAGTTTCAAATAATAATAAAAAGAAAACAAACCTCTCGTATCTATGTGGGATTGGAGTAAGTACGGCCCTGAAAGAATGTCAAGTGTGTCTGGGTTTAGAACGAAAGTGACCGTGTGTAAGAGGATTGACTGCAAAGAATATTTATGGTAGAGTCAAGTGAAAGTTTAGGGATGCGTCCAGAGTGTTTGAAGTACCTGGCCCACCGAGGTAGCGTGGGAAAGGGGCATGATTAGAAACGAAAGCCTGGGAATGGAAAAGGACAGAATGAATGGCTTAAATAAGGGTGCAAGGGCACGGGCAAGTCAGTCTCCAGGAATTTCTAACAATCTATAAGAGTTTTTAAGCTAGTCTCTAAGAGTGTGCTAGTATGTCGGTAAGAATTCCAAGTCGAGCGTGCCCATAGCGAATCTCTCTTAGCCAATACTCCATGTATCAGCTTATTGTATTCTATTAAGAAGCAAACAACGCTATTTTAGCCAATCCACCCAAACGCGATCCTACATCTATGTAGAAAATTATTTTAAAAATTTTGGAAAGTATCTTCGCGTTGCTTGGACATATTTTATCCAACAGCACTTGCCACGAGAAGAAGAGCGGCTGGTTCGATGAAGTAGAGAAGGGTTGGAGGTGTAGGGCAAATAAGCGTGAAGTTTCGAACTGCGATGATAATGGGAGGCACGATAATGAAGTGTGTTAGAGTGATCTTCGAGGCGACGTTGTTCAGTTGGAAACCCACGGATCTTCGATTACTCGAGAGTTGCATTATGCACCTGAGAGCAATCGCTTGGTTAAAGCCGCCGTGATTTCGTAGCGGAACGCAGAACCTCGTTTCTGGGTATATAGGCGAATTCCTATTGATCATGGAAGGTTCCTCGAGAGCAATCTTTCTGTTTCGATTATGGGGAACTCGATGGGAACCATTATCGTTCTTAGCGAAATTCTAAGTAAAAATACTGCGTTAAGAAGGGAGTAATAAAGAGGTTAATTAGAAAGGGGTTGTGAGAAAGAGTTCCATCTGCCACGTACTTTATTTCTTAGATATGTGGATAGAAATGGATGTGGTAATGGTTACATAGATCTTTAAATATATATGTATTGGAATGAGTGGAACAAGTACTCTGAGGAATTATTGTGTTAGCTTTTGTTAAATTTCTTAATTTTTTAATGAATTGTTTCATTCATTTGGTAGATTAATTTTCTAATCTATTTCAAAATTGTTTTACCTGCTTTAAGTAACTTAATTTATAAATTATTTGAAAAATAATTTCATCCTTTGGTAGATCAACTTCCTCTTTTTTTCTTTTAAATAGTTTCATTTCTTGGAAAATTAATTTCTTGGTGTTTTAACAAATTTCCTAATTTTTTGAAGAACCATTTTTCCTTCTGGACAAATTTAAATAAAATGTCACTTCACGTCAATAAAAATATCTTGAGTCAAATTTGTTTCTGTTTAAAAAATAATTTCATCCTTTAGTAGATCAATTTCCCCATTTTTCCAAAAAATTGTATCATTTCTTGGAAAATGAATGATCTTTTAACAAATTTCCTAACTTTAGAAAGAACCATTTTTCCTTCTGAATAAATTTAAATAAAATATTACATCGCGTCAATAAAAATATCTCGAGTCAAATTTGTTTCCATCATCCTATGGAACAGGAAATAAATAAAAATGCATTAAACAATTATATAAAAATAGGAACAAATTTTAATTTACTATTGGTTATTATTAGTTGTTTTACTATTACTTTTATTTTATACAGTAAGTATAGTAAATAGTTATTTACTATTATTTTAACTTTATTATTATATATAAGAGAAAAGGAGCTGCAAATATCACACAATAAAAAGAAAAAGTTGCTCCTATACGTTGAAACAAAAACACGATATACATTTCGGAAATTTCTCGGGATAATAAATACACAACGCCAGAAATGACTATACCACGGTCCTTTTTAAGCGCGATAAAATGGATAAGCAAGGAATACCGAATTAAACCAGCCACGAAATGAATACCGAACATTACAAGAAACGAGGTCAACATCATCAGCATCACCACGGGACACGGTCGAATTGTTGCTCAACAAAATCGTAAGCGTTACGCGAGCGCAATTACCCGGTGAATTATGCATTTCCTCGGACCGCTCGTGAATTCAGTAGTTACGGTCCGGTTATGGTCAGACGCCGCGCTCCCTGGTACAGTCATATGTCTCGCGTAATAGTTTCTACGCCCCTGTGTCCATGGATATGCGCCTTGTCAGACACGTGCAACACGATCCTGCGGCGTAATCCACGAGAAACATCGATAAAACACCCTGTTCGAATGAGCATCGTAATATTAACTATCGTCGTTTCGTTTTCTAAAACAGGAAATGAATTACGGGCGTCCCGTTCCTCGGGGTGAAATTGATTCCACGGTAAATGGAGAATGGAAACGAACGAGAGGATGTATGTACACTATATTTATTTGAGAAATATATTCACTTCAGTTTAGAATTTATGTACGCGAGTATGTACCAGTAGTTATAATAAATTATATTAATTCTGCTCGTAATATTATTACACTGTAATTATCTTGTAATTTTTAGAATTGTGTCCGAGGTAATAAAGAACATTGATAAATATACTTAACTGAATAACTAGCAATAAACTATTCAGCATTTAGGATCTGGTTATTAGAAGACCCTAACGGGAGCAGTGTTTTACATAGGAACACTTCAGCTATCGAACCCTAATTAATAAATTCATCCATCATTCCCAATTATTATTACTAATAATTATATATGCTGTAAATTATTGTTATTGTAAATTATATGTAAAAATATATACATGTTATGTGTAATGTATGTATATAATTATTTATCTTATACATTACTCAGGTGGGACTGAAGTTCTCAAAAAATGTTTTTACTAGAATTGTTTGGTATAGAAAGAATCTTCAGACGTCAGAGTCTTATTTGAAATGATTTTAAAATATATTTTAAATTGTCTATTTTAAATAGTAATTTTTGAAGTGAATGTAGTGACCTACCACAAGATATCATTTATTATATTATATATATTGTACGATAATAATACAGCTCTACATACATATAAATATAAATAACTAAATAAATATATGCATATATATATTGATACATGTATTTTTACAATGTATAAATGTTATTAATATATTTAAATATATGTAGATATTAATTTATTAATACATTATAAGACATATT